TTGAAAACAACCTTACTTTCTCCTTAGGTCATCTCTAAAATTAGGTTTTACGAAATCATTTATTTCTCTTCTTTCATAAAAATGATCAAAATTTCATTCAAAACCGCCCAACTTGCAAAGTCCTATAATTAGGCATATACTTTTCATTATTTGTTGTGGTTTGAGACAAATTTCTTCTCTTATATGATTCGAGGAGGTCTCGTATTCAATAGAATAATACAATTTATAACATTTTAGTTTTTTCATTATTTAACACTTTTTAGTACTCCAAAAATCTTACCAAATGAGTCATCCAAGTTTGTCACTTCTTCTACATTTTATCAAATGCCTAGACAACTTTCTTAATTATTTTACCCACCAAAAGTTAGTCTCCCAAATTTTCAAACTTTTTCCTTCCATGACATTGTTTGGCAGGTAATTAAATTAAATTTAAGGCTCCGTCTGCTACCGATTTTCCATGGCTTTTCAGCAGAAATAGGACCGTTAGTGGGACCCGGCTGAGAGAGTGGCGGTCAAGAATTGCGGCCCAACGGTTAGAATTTGACTGAAAATCTTGCCAAAAATGTTCGTCAGACAAGCTCTAAGGCTCTGTTTGATTACAACGACTTTCATGGAAAATGTCACATCCGAAATAAAACGAATTACACTTTGGCCGTTTGATTGCAACGTGGAAATAGAAACCGAATTCCAAGGTACAACAATTTTAATCTTCATTTTCTTTGTTTTCATGAAAACCGAATTCCTATGGGTTTTGTGAGTTTTTATTTTTCAACTAACATGAAATTAGAATTATTTTCCATCTTTACTTGTCAAACGGACCCAAGTGATATTAAGTTGTAAATCGTATGGAATATATGAATAATAATTGGGTGATAATTGTGGGTCCTGTTAATGTACTGATAAAAAGTATATTTGATCATGTATAATTAAAATATAATCACATACCAATTATTTATATATTGAAGTGCTTTTAAGTGCTTATATGTTATGACTCTTATATAATGTGTAGATAATAAATGAGTAGTAAATTGTGGATACAAAATGTGTGAATAAAAAGTATGTTTAACCGACTAAAATTGTAATTTAAACTTTGCTAAACGTGCTCACAAAAAAATAATTAACATAAACATTACCAAAGAAAGTGTTTGAAATATGTTTGGGAGCAACAATATAGCTCTTAAGATCGTGCAATTGAGTCATCAAATGATGGTGGACGAATACCACATAACGTTCAATCTTCTATCATTGAATATCAATTAATTTTCAAATGAGATAATAAAGTTTAAATGCACAAAATGTTCATGTTGTACATTTTGATTTTGGTGTAGTTCGTTAGTTTAGTACGATGAAAAATTCACCGACTGAACATTAGTTGTATGTTGTAGTACACACGGCAAACAAGATAAATGCACAAATTTTCTCAAAATGTACACTGCAATTTAATGAATCAAATAGCATTAACTATTTTTTAGGATCATTAAATAATTATTTATTGATAATAATTCGATATGGGGAAAAAAAAAAAAAAAACTTGCACAATTTTGATATCTAACATTAGCCTCCGTTTGTTTCTCATTTTTCATCCATAAAAATGAAAAATGTGACCGTTATCCATTACATCAAGCCATCAATTTTGAATTTATATCTTTGTGTGTGGCCCAATAACAGTTTTATTGTTCATTCTCATTCTACAATAATGAGAATCAAACAGGCTTAGGGATGGCAAAGAGCAGGGCGGGATCAGGGCGACCTTCCCTTGTCATGTCAAGATATGTAAGAGGAGAAAGATATTTGGGACGGGTTTGAAGAAATTTAGGGTGGAACCATGCTCCTCATTCTCGCCCAAATTACATAAAAGGGCAGGGCAATTCAAGGGTTGGGGGGAGCGGGTTCGGAGTATTTTGTCTATCCCCCATTCAATTAGCTAGTTTCCAGCCTTTAAACGAACAAGTTATCCTCAACATTTCATTTTAGTTATACAATCGGTCTTCAACGACGATAATCCTTATACAATTTCATTTTAGTATTTTATGTATAAAGATTTCGTTTAGTTGTTCTCTCTTTCTTATCATCAAGGTTTCTCAACATATAATCTATATATATTTTTAATGGCTAGTGAACCACACATTGGTAAAAACCCATTGGTTTGAGCTCGTTTATACCTACTCTTAGATAGCTCGGCAAGAACGTCACTCTCTCGGGATTACTAATATACAGTAAAACCTCTATAAAATAATAATGTTGAGACCTACAAAAATTATTAAATTATCGATAAATGAATAATTTATTAATTTATTTAGTATTTTATATTTTTATAACTTTTATTATATTTTATCATGAGATGTGTAAGAAATTAAGAAAAAATCTATTGAACGTGGTGAAAATTTTGTAAGCGCAGACATACGCTCACAAAAAGCACACACATACATACATTAAAGAGAAAATTTTAATGTACAAATAATGTTATCTAGCACTAGTGGTGCTAAAGCTCCAGTCTAAGTATAAGTATGTGATAAATCATAATAAATGAGTTATAAATATTTTTATTTAATTGAACTTATAATTTAATGACATAAGTGATGCTACCTAGACTAGTGTTAAACACCATTGGTACTAAATAACATTATTCTTAATGTACATGCATTGATTTCAAAATTTAATATATTGGAAGATTAATCATTCAAATTTCATGCATTTTTCTATAGTCATTAGTTTCAACTTAAGACCCCAATCAGTCTTGATTTGAGTTTGGTTTGGGTGCAAAGAAAAAGAAAAAGTAAAAGACTTTAAATGCATATTTTGAAAAAGATGTGAATTGAAAGAATGTTGTCCGATTAAAAGTTTGTTAATTTGTATTGTATGAATTTTTATGAATTTAAACAGTTGTTACTTTTTATATTTGTTGGACTTTAAAAGATTTCAAAAAAAAAAAGTTATTATCTTATGTCTTTAGCGGGGTTATTAATTTAGTACGCTGGCTCAAATGGAGACGGAAGAATTTGGTTATTTAACGAGATTATTAATTTATTGAACATTCATTTATCGAGATTTTATACTCCTCGGCGTATCTAAGGCCTCCTTCCATCTATCTGTGTGATATGGTTCTGAAAGAGTTGGAATTTTAATCTTATGTTAGGGGTCAACAAAGGACGAAGGTCTGCAAAGGTTTCTTGGGCCGAATGAATATTGAAACTAAAAGAGGATAGGAAAAATTTCAAATGTAAGAGATTAAGTACCACTCATTTCAAAACTAAGACACAAAATTTAAAACTTCAAAAATTAGATATTAATTAAATTTTATTTATGAAATAATTAATTAAATACATATTTTATTAATTAAATATATTAAGGTTACAATTCTACATAGTTTGGTCACAATTATCAAATGAATTGGTCACGAAATATTTTTCGATCACGAATAAAAAATTTTATGTTGCAAATTATTTTATAGTCACGGATCAAAAATTTCATCTGTCACAAATCAAAAAAATTATAGGTCACGATTTATTTATCGGTTACAAATTATAAATTTTATAAGTCACAATTTATTACACGGTCAAAAATTATCAAATTATTGGTAATAAATTAACAAATTTTTAGATTACATATTATTTATTGGTCACAATTTATCTATTTATCGATCACAATCAACCAAATAATTTGTGATCACCACTTCACCATTGCCTCCAGTCGTACTGTCGCCAACACCGCCATCACTGCCTCCCAACAACACCACCGTCGACACTACCTCCAACAGTTACTATTTTCAATTTTAAAATCACCACCATCCCCCACCACCAACGAACCACCATTTTCAACTATAAAACCAACGCCAATGTCAACACCAACACCACCACAACCACCCAACACCGTCACTGTCAGCGCCACCCGCACCGCCACCGTCAGCGCCACCACCTTCTTCCCATCAACGTCATGGCCAACAGAAGCAGCACCACCACCTCCTATACGAAAAAACACAATTACCATCTCCATCATACCACAAACACCACACCAACCAAAAAATCCCAAAAGCCGCTGTCGTTGCCCCCACCATTGCATAACTACTATCGCCTTATCAAATCCACGTCAGACTGTAGTCCACAATCACAGCACCACTGCAAGTTGTGTGTCATAAGCAAGACGTCGCCCGACGAGCACAGCACAGCGCACAGTTACCGCAGCAACGTTCGCAAACAGCGAAGCTGTTGTCGCCCTCTGAGCGTGACGTAGCTATTGTGGCTTCCGAGGGCGCTGTGATGTGTGACATCGCCTGTTATGCTACGATGATGGATCTCTTGATAATGATAGAAGAGAGACGACGCAGAGGATAGATTAAAGAGAATATAAATGAAAATTGATTTATGGTTAGGGTTGGATGGGGTATGGTGGGGTGGGGTGGGGTGGAATAATGTAGATTAAATTATTTTTATAAGATTATTATTAATATTTAAAAAAATATATTATTATCTGATTTTTGTATAAACAAACCTTAAATCTGATTTTTGAAATGTAATTTTTAAAAGTAGGCTTCCATGTAATTTCCGCTAAAAAATCTCAAACAAATGGGCTCTAAACCTGATTATACAATCGAAAAAATTCGACCCAAACCAGAGTTTACATACAGAGACCATTTGATTCTTACCACGGAAAATGAGAAGCCAAGAGTAGAGCGCATCATAAAGAAAATTCTTTTGTAGCAATCAGTTAAAAAATTTAAATGTACAGTGACTGGATGAGAATGAGAAAGAACACCCACAACAAATTTCCCATCCACTTCATTTGTTTTCTGTTGAATCAAGACATACTAAGAATGTCCGAAACTATATAATTTTTCTCAATGCCAATTCTACAGAATGAAACATAGATAAATGATCAAATTTCGCCGAGGAGGAACTATCTAATAGTCACTGTAGAGTGGGTTTACCACAGTTTATAAGTTACCTAGCATACAAGTTTCTCTGGGAGAAAACCTACAATCATTGCATTCTGGTGGATGGGCTTTAGAAATTGTCTTTATCTTCGTCTTTCGTAGAGTTGGGAATATCATCAAAGCCAGATCCTGGAGCGAGCTCATTGAGATCAAGAAAATGCTTTTTCTGTATACCAACTTTGTCTTGATCTGTCTCATTTGATTTTTCTGGTGGATGCGTTCGCTCATCATTTGTCTCAGGATGCTCCTTGGTAGGTTGATCAACTTGCATCTCAAGCTTTTCATTGCTCGAATCTAAATCTCGACTTCCCATCGAGATCTCTTCATTATCACTAATGGATGGGTGCTCGTCTAATGCATTCAACTTCTCAGGTTTCATTGATTCAGTTTCTGATTCAGACATCTCAATCTGTCTATAATCAATACGAGTTCTGGTTGCCCTTTTACTGCGTCTGAGACCAGACTGTAGCTCACCGACTGACCTCAATTTGGTTTCCCTCCTGGTGCGAGATGGCAACGTTTTGTATTTATATTTATGGGGCTCATCACTCTCCTCACTTGTACTCAAGATATCTTCCTCCTCTTCTTCCTCCTCTTCAGGATTTTCTTCATCCCCCATATATTCTTCATCTCCTTCTGAACTGCTAGACATTTTCCTCCGTTTCCGTCTCCTTAGATATTCTTCATCATATACAACTTCGCCAACAATATCATCATCACTATCAGAATCTACCTCGTTATCTGAGACAGCATCAACAAACTCTTTCAACCTCTGAGGCCTCTGCCTTCGACGATTACTACCAGCAATGAGATAATCAGTTAGTTGACTTAGTTCATGGGTAGATAACTAACCCCGCCCACCCCAACCAAAAAAAAAAAAGGGCTAATGGAGTACCTGTAGTCCAATGTTCCAGCTTCTTGATCGTCATAAAATTCATCATTATCAGGTGATTTTGGAGACAGAGAACTGAATGAGGCCTGTCGAGAATATTGTGAAGGACCAACCAATCCGCCATTTGTAGAAACTTCATGTTTCACATTAGGATCTCTTCTGTCAAAAGGTTCCGGTGAAGGTTGTTTCTTCCTGATGTGGGAGAGTACACAGATACGTCAAAACAATCTTAGTAACTATGATCCAAAGAAAAAGAATGAGAAAGATATAGATCTAAAGGGTGACTAGGATTCATACTTGGTGACCTTGATAGCCTCGTTAATGGATCGATCATAATCATCTACAATAGAATCAGCACGATAATCAGAATTTAAACGATTGGGTCTAGATGCCAACATAGAAATTGAGCCATTGCTCATGCATAATAAAGCACAATATCAAAGGAGTGCTATCAACAACAACACAAAAAACTAAAACAAGCGTATAACCATTCAGTCTGTGAAACTGTGAAGAGTGCCAAAACCAGGCACATCGCAAGCAGGGAGCTCTATGGAGCCAGGATCTTAGAGCTTGTTTGGGAGGAATTAAAATCGGATTAAAATTGAAAAACAAGCCGTTAATGTTGACTTTTATTAGACATGTGGAACCCAATACCGGCTACATTTTCAATTTTAATTGGATTAAAATCCCTTCCAAACAGGCTCTTAGATAGAATCTATGATTTGCCTGATAAATATTGAACTATTTAGCAACTCCACTCTCACATATACTCCATATCCCTATCCCCATTCCAACCCCTCAAAAAAGAATAAGAAAAATTAAGCATAAGAAACCATGAGCGGAAAAAATTCCACGTTGAGTGGAACGATTTTCATTTGTGTGCTCGCGGGCATGCGGTTGTGTGTGTGTGTGTGTGAGAGAGAGAGAGAGAGAGAGAGAGAGAGAGAGAGAGAGCACAAATGAATGCCAACAGTTCTCCCTCCAATAATTTATCATTTTAATAAATATTTTGAAGTTCTAGACAATTGCGTGAAAAAGAATTAGATTAGTCTTACCAAAGGTATAGGTGACAGGTTTTCTATCACGGAGGGAGCGACCAGCACCCAGATCATCAATGTTGATCAGGTTATCAAGCATAAGAGCTTGTCTATGTTGCTTCTTTAACAGTCTCTCCTTTCTCTGCATAAATAGCACATCTTAGTGCAAATAACCCCCAAAGAGATTCAGAAAGGAAAATTCATCTACATTTTTGAAACGTGTGACAATTTTTTTTAGTGAAAAGGGTGACGTGACTGAATAAAGCATAATATCCAAACTAAACGAAGATGCAGTACATATTATATTCCAATCAAGAGTACACCTTGTGGACCTTCTCAACTTCAGGAAGCATGTCTTTTTTCAATTTCTTCCCAACAGAAACCTCTGTTCTATTTTTACTTGAAAAGAGCTTCTCCTGCAAACAGAAGTGAAATTCAGATGGACATGGAACGAAGAAGGAAAACGTATGAATTCCTATATTTAGAAACTACAGCGAAAAGGTAGTGTAAGGTGCTGTTGAGATTATCCAGCACGTTAGGGATGAGCTTTACAGGCAAAGAAGCACCTCATTTGGAAAGGCACGCATTTTACATATTACGAAGCCCTAATTTAAAATACAGTTGTTGCAGACACGCGTGAACAATCAAATGCACCGTACTAGAGGCTTTCTATTAACAACAGAGATTGTCTACAAGATAATAAGATGAGTGGCCTGTTATAACAGTGCTCCTATATATAATTCTTTCCTAAAATACTGTTTCTGCTGTAGTTTTTCCTTAAGCTCTTGTGTTTGCCTTTCTTTGTTCTTTGGTTCAATGCGCTCCCTCCCTTTTCAGATCATTACATACATTGAGAGATTCACCCATTGTTCCCCTCATCTTTATGTTGAAGGGTAGTGCCACAAAGTTGGAATATATTTGATATATTTTATTAATTATTACATACTTGCTATGTTTCCAGGTTAAAAAGTCAGAACTCAAAACAATACTTCTACCACTTGTGCTTTTTAAAAAACTAGGCATGTTGGATGCCATTCATACAGCCATAATATAAGCCAACCATAGGTACTGGGAATCATCAAGAATTTGTCCCCCCAATTTTAACCCAGCCAAAACTTGCAATCTCATAACAGTTTCTGCCCTGAAATTATATGGATCAGATGATTTATGCTGCCATGAAACTCATGTTGCACCTAGGCAATTCGTTTCCAAGTTTTATCCTAAGAAGTACGGGTATGTGTAAACTTATTGCGTACTGTATCTGATACGTATCCACTATCCAGGTTTGGCTACGCTTGGACAATCTCAAATATGTAATGGATGCGAATTTTTTAATTATTTTTATATTTTTTAAATTTCCTATATGTATCGAACACATGAACAAGAATTTTATTGGCTTTAAAATTCTTTAAAAACTTCTTATTATTGAAAATAGATGACAAAAGTTTTTTGTTTAATAGATAAATATTTTTATAATTAATAACTTGCTGAAAATAGATAAATACTTATTGGAAATAGATGACAAAATTTTTCACTTAATATTTTTGATTGAAACCTACTCTTTTGTGCACTTTATGAGAAGAATAAAATGACTCCGCAACGATACAAAGAATTAATTTTCATTCATATTAATCTGTCTTTTATCAAGAAAAATAAACTTCTATTCAAAAAAAAAAATTTAGACATTATCAGAGACTCATTTGATATTCTTGAAGGTGTTGGACTGCTTGAGGTTACTAATTTATCATTAGATGAGTTAAGAGTTGGAGAGAGTAAATTTTAATGACGATGAAGAAGCTGATGATGGTGGTGTTGAAGCAAATGAAGTTGGAAAATTACAGATTAAGATAAAAAGCTTTAGTATTTTGTTTTATTATTATAGTCAGGCTTCTATTTTAATTTTTTCTAAAACAATAAAATTATGCAGAATTTATGATTTAATTTATTAAAAGAGTACTACACATATTACATATATATACACACATATCAGCTTATCCTAATTTTTTTAAAAAGTTATATCAACGTATCCACATATCGTATCGTATTCAAATTATGTATCGGAATCCGTATTGCTTAGGTTTTATCTATTTCAGTTTCACTATATTCAAAATGGAGAGCAGTACACTATAATAAAAAAGCAGGTAACAAAAGTATCATAAATCAAGTAAATATAAAGAAAAAAAATGGAATTTATTCAGATCCAACCAATGATCCTTGTAGACATTATTCATCAAATTTTGGCTGAAGAGTTTGTTGTGTACTTACTTTCTTGTATTTTTGTATGAGAAAAGATGCAGTGTCTTCATCAGTTTCAGATTTTTTAAGAATGTTTTTGATCAAAATATGTCTTCAACTTCAAAATCAACTTAAAATTTTGAGTCTCCAAGTTCGAGCTGGAGCATTTTTTTTATATTCCCATGAATACACATGCATCCCTACTTCCTTGATAGAATTGACATTGTCTAGTGTTTTGAAGCTTTTCAAAGCTATCTTGAGATTGAATAAAGTGATTCCAGATTCATTTTGGAAAAGTAATAGTGAATAGAATTAGTGCATGGAAAAGCTTACAGAAACATTTTGGAATTCATCTAAATTAGTAGCAACTGCTTCCCATTGATAACATGAAGGAGGAATGGGGGGTATGCTCTTTCCTTTTCCTTTCTTCACCTCAACTTTCCTAATCTCTCGGTACAGGCGCTGGCCAATGATAGGATCATCTTCATACCTATATAACAACACATATTTCAATGAGAACTAGCAGAACAGTGAATATCGTGGATTACAAGAAAAATAATTCATATAATTTCAATAAAGGCAACTTTCTTGTCCTTACTAATACTGTATGACAAAATGAAAGCTTATATTACAGATATTAATGATCAGTCCTTTGCCACTAAATGTAAATTACCAATACGAGATTCCGTGTGAATCACCCCCGAGGCGTTCTTTGCGAAATACTGAATGCGGCACACCATGTTTTATTGAGTCATCTATAAAGCTCCTAATATCTTCTTGCTGCAGATTGTAGTATTATTCAGTATAGGTACACCAAAAAGATACATCCAATTTTATCGAATAGCATAAATAGTAAGAGTGGAAACTCGCAGTAAGTTTCCAAAGCCTCGCTTGAGGCTTTGGTTTGACTAGTGAAAGTTTGTTAACGAAATGAAAAACTCGAGCTTCAACCCCACACCTAAAGTTGAATATTTTTTTGTCATAAAGAACTTGATTGACCAGTGTGTATAGTTTATATCGCACAAGTCATAGACAGCACAGGTCACTCAACAATTTGCCCTTCTATGTTCATTCACATTATACATTGTGCCTGTACATTCTGAAAAAGCACGGTCATGAAACTTTAGTGAGCCATCCAACAAGTGCCAAAATGACCTCTTAGAATGTCAAAATGACCTCTTAAAAATGTGTTATATCTTTTGGAGACATTTTACCAGGAATATGCACAGCTCATCAATACATCCTCCACGCATCAACATTTCAATTGATGAGCTCTTAATATCTCAATTTTAATACGATGATGATTGTTATAGAACTCTTAATTTACTTTTCAAGACGAATTTAAAAGGAACAGATTCTCTCAGATCAAGATTGGGTTGTAATCATTATTTGGATGTCAAACCACACATGCATCACATATTTCCCTTGGGGGGGAAATGGTGTATATTTCTTAGAAGGAAATATGTTTCAGCTAAACACGGAAACATGTAAGCACCAAAAGTCAATTTTTAAGGATTTGATTACTCACTTGATTTTGAAAAGGGATTCAATAAAATTGTTTGGATCAAATCAAAATAATCTTTCAAGAAAGTACCTCAACGCGAATATCACATAATGCTTTCAGAATCACCACACGAACGCCGGGGTCAAGTGCATTGTATGCTTCAATTTCAGCCCTAAAACAACATGGGAACTTGTAAATATCCACAAATCCATTTTCCTAAAGCCAAGAACAAGCACAATATTAGAAGTTTACTGAAAATGCACGTCCACTAACCCGTGTGATGCAACTATAGGTATATCTCCCTCTGCAACCTGCAATGTAAGTAAATCCATCAGATATTGTTAGAAAAATGGGTTCAATTCATCCAAAAATCTGTTCAATGCCACTAATTAATTACCCAATGCCACCAATCTCTCAGTTTTCTGCATAAAACAGTTATCCAAGTACCATGTCCCAGCGCCATTCTTGTGACAGGAGGAATTGCCTTTAAAAAGTAAGGAAAATATATATAAGAATGCTTGTTATGGTAGCATGCAAAAAAAATGTATAATAGAATAATGCTTCAGAAACTTTGTACAGATTGTATAGATAAGGAAAGACGAGGACACAAACACAAATAAAGAACAGCACTATACAACAAATCATGAAGCATTGAGACTGTGGTTCAACAGAGAATTAAGAAAGAGATGTGAGATAGCATCTCCACAGGGTATGAATAATTTAATGACGCAAAGATCTCACCAAAAAAGAAATCTATCATATTGCATTAAGGGCAAGAACCCAAAACAAATCCAAAAATTGGAGAAGAGCAAACAACTCTAAACAAGTCTATGAAATTTGCCCTTGTCGCCAACAACCAAAAATCCAATAGTTGACATCACATTTGAAAGCCTAACAAGAGAGTTGAGAAGCCTCTATGATAGCCAAACGGTAGGGAAAGAAGGTGTGTCCTCAGTGAGTTTCTAATTGGTCCCTAGACTTCCCATTTACCTGCATGTCATTTCGATAGACTTGGTAGAGTTTATATGGCTCTGATTTCAATAGACTGCTAATAACCAGTAAACATATAGTCATCTAGCTGTCCACTCTAAAATCAGAACCACAAGTCAAATTCCAACTAAGTATAGGTATTGCCATGAACGCAAGTATTTCAATGAGAATTCCTCCCAATCATCAGCTTAGCACCAATATCAACTTCTCTTAAAATTCCACCTCTTAGCAGCTTCATCTGATAATTTGACACCATAAAATGAAATGGTGCATTCTACACCTTTCCTCTTTTCTCGTGTCACTAGCAAAATGTGAACTGACATGTAAACCTTTCAACTTATTGCTATGGCACACTACAGAGAAGTCCTGGTGATAATCTATAACACACAGTTCTGCATAAACATAAGAATCTAGCATCGTCGCCCCTTTCAATTTCCTTCATCTATGTTAGAACAACTTTGGTGGGAATTTCAAGAATAAGTTAAATCTTATATGCTTAAAAATCTGATCTACATGCTAATGGAAATTCAAATCTACTTTAAATAAATCACAACTAAGCATTAGTCTAGCTTTGCATCTCAAATTTCTGTACTTCGTGGATATGTATCTTCTTTACTGAAATTTGCAGGACTTCCAAGGAGATATTCTACACAAAATGAAAGAAAGACAGAAAGTAAAAGAACGAAAGATCTCCTCCAGGATCTGCAGAGGACTGAATGAAAGCGTCAATTGGCAAACGTCTGAGCAGAACACAACTGAGAAACATAGCTCTGAAGCAGGCCAAATCACCTCCAAAACAATGGGTTAGCTTATAATGTCTTTCACAAGGCTTATACAATGGAAAATTGACCTAAATATATTAATACTTCAAAAACAAGATGATAGATGCTCCAGTCTAAACAAATCACTTCACATTCCCTCACAGACCCCATATGTACAACCTTCCATGCAATTTGTTACGGCACACCTTGCAAATGCAAGTGCAACTTTGATATTCATCTAAACCTACCTTCCAAGTAACAATTATTCCATCTATTCTGCAAGAAAGAGATGCATAAACTTCTGAAACCACCACAGAAACAACAAGAACAACCATTGAGATTCAAATTAACACAAGTGATAAAGTTGCACACAATCTGAAATTGAACGAAATGTAAAGCACTAACCTTCAACAATGGCATATGTATATCCCCCAAAGTATTATTAGGCATAATCAAAGCAGTCTCAAACTCTTCAGCAGAAAACTCCACTTTAATATTCAACAAATGCCTAAATACCTTCACACAACACAGAACACACACATTAGCTTTCAAACAGAAAAATTCTAATCTTTATCACTTTTCATCTTATTCTCTCATTACATACATTCAAGAAATTGAGTATAGAAGCCAACTGCCACATGGATCGAATGGTCCATCGCGGTAACTGTGAGGGCTCCGGCTCCCCCAACAGTGGGGTCACTATTTTACTACATTGTTGCAACGGCGACGAGAGGGTACCATTCTCCTCTCCAACCTGCTCCTCCCCCTCCCCCTCCTGCCTGACCCCCTCCTCCTCCTCAGACGACTCCTTCAGAAGCCGGGCCGCCAACCTCTCCCTCCTCTTGGTCTTCTTTCGCTTCCTCTCCGCCTCAGCCATCACTGCCTCCGCCTCTGCCGCCGCCTGCAACCTGGCTGCCGCCCTCTGTGTACATGCCCTGGACGGCCTCTCCCTCCTGACCTCTACATTATTATCATTATTACTTCTACTACTATTGTTAACATTACCTTCCTTGATGTTCTCAACACAGTTGTTTTTCACATGGGTATTCGGGTTGTCAGGGTTTTCCGATGAGCGGATCGGAGATGAGGCCTCGGACATGGTGGTCCGATCGGTTGCAGACGGGTCTAGGGAAGAGTTACATGCAAGATCAAGGGCTTGCATTGAAGCAAAATAAAAATTAAAAAATTGTCAAAATTTGCTAATCCATTCAAAAGGTCCACAAGAGGAAAAAAGGATAAAAAAAAGTCGGGGTTTTTCCCACAAACAAGAACAATAAGAAAACCAAATAAGCTACAACGGGGCAAAAGAAAATAGAAGCTACAGACGAAAACAAGTATAATCAATCAAGATTATAATACAATAGATGGATAATATAAATGGGTTCGTCGGGTTGTGAGATTTCAGAGGTAAGACTTATGAGTGATGTGAGAGAGGAAGACGAGAAGGGGGGCAATAAAGGAACACTGTGTATTGCAGGAAAATTGGGTCTTGAAAATATGTAGATGGTAAAAAACACGGGTTAATCAGTGAGGACGTGAGATGGGAATTTCAGTGACTGAAAGGGTAAATCTTGATCCAAAAAGTAGTGAGTTTTGGGGGGTTAAATGTGTTGGAAGATTGAAGTTTTATTGTTAATTGGTTTTGAGAGGAATTTATGGTCAAGGTTTGGGGTTTCTTGGAATAAGGAGATGCAGATAACACGTCACACTCACGTCACACGCACTAACACATACATGTGTGTGTAGGAAATTGCAGCGGCAGTTTGATGAAGGAATATCAACATAAGGATTGTTGTTCGAAAATAGGAAAGAGAGTAAAGAAAAGTCAGTTTGATGAAGGAAAGAGAGTGAAATCGGTAGCAATGACGAGGAATCAATGGAATTGGACAAAGGAAAATAAAAAGTAAGAAAATAAGAAATTAAAGTTTTCTCTACCCCTCGCACCGCCATCACTATTTTCCCAGGTAATCTGCGAGTGAAAATGGAGAATAAAGTAGGCTGGTTCGGTACAAAAATGATAAGAAGAGAATAAAGAAAATCCAATGGTGAGGAAAGAGGAATTAGAGGTTGAAATGAATAGCAAGAGCGATTACGGGGATTGTGAGAATCGACGACAAATGGGCAATGGGGTGAAGCGAAATGAATAAAACTAAACAAACAAAAATTAGAAATTAAAGTTTTCTCGCACCCTCAAAACCACCTCAATTTCCCATTTCACCTAGGGACGGGAAAAATGGAGAATAAGGTATTGGAATTTTCAAATTTGTTGAAAATTAACCTATAAATATATTGGATAACTTCTTAGCGTCTGTCAATTGTTTACCGAAAGTTTAATTATTCTTCAGATAGTCTTCACTCATGAAATTAATTCTCTTGCAAGCTAAACCCACAAGGTTGGTGAGCTAGCACACTGAGAATTTGCATTGTGGTATCGGACTGGACTGAATTCGGGGTTTGACTAGTACGGGTTTAGATAGATCTCCTAAGCCTCTATTTGACAAATTTATAAATTATTCAAATTTCATTTTCAACTATGCATTCCAATGAACCACAAGTTACTCATTTATCCGTCACTCATTTTTCTATATTTATAAATTAAATGTCTTGTAAATTCTTCCAAAAGGAAACATTTATAGTGATCTTTGATTATCATTTAAAGATCTAACAGTTCAGATATAAGCCGAGTATGACTATTGGGATTTGCAAATATCTGTTTTATGTATTTTGGAATGAGTTGTTATTAAAGAGTATGTCTTTTTACTTTGGCAAGTCTATTTATATTGCATTAAATCACTTAAAATAACAACAATTTTTCTCTCCTCTCTTCGCATAACCAAACTTATATTTTTTGAATAACATTAATTTACAAAGAAGAAAAATCTGAAATTGTAAACTTAAGTCAAAATTTCATAAATCTTTGAACGCTTGCAAAAATTAAAGGTCTGTTCTCTTTGCCATTTTCAAGCCCTTTTTCGTTTTCGATTTTGCAAAATTGTGAAAACGTGTTCTCTTTCCTATTTTCGAAAACGCATTTTTGAAAACAAGTTAAAAATTTACAAAGAAAATTCAAAACAACAAATTTGTCGTTTTGAGTGTTCAATTATAATCAAGCCAAAATTTTTAAAATGCGTTTTGGGTGTTTTCAAAATGCTAAAAAGAACACATTCTTAACAATTTCAAAATGGAAACTCAAAACACAAAATTGAAATACAAAAAGAACAGCCCAGATATTGTAATTATTTACAGAAGTACAATTTGAAGATAATATAGGCTCCATTGTATCTTAGACGAATTCTAACCACTTCACACCTTCTACTGGGAATGAATATTATCTTAAGCACAACTTGATAATTTGTGTGCCTTGGAGACAAATTTTATTAAGTTCGATTGTACTAATGAAATGGCATGGAGGGAAATAAATAAAAATTAACTAAAATAAGATATTAAAGTTTCTCCTAGTGACACCTCAATTTACATTTACGGTAGGGGCAAGGAAATTAGAGTATAAGGGAAGCATGTAAGAAAAAAGAGATAAAAGGAAGCTAGTTGGTAAAGAAGGAGATGGTGAAAGTTATAGTATGATCAATGAATTATGAGAAAGGTGAGAATTGACGATTGGATAAAGGGAGAAAATTTTCTCCCCCGCTTGTGACGCCACCTTTGCCATTTCAACTAATATGCGAGGAAAATGGAAAATAAAGAAGGCTAATACGAAAAGGGAAAAAAGAGTAAGGGAAGTTCGTTGGCGGGGATGGATGTGTTGGGGGGTGAAATTATAGTAGGGTCGATGAATCATGCGGATACTGAAAATTGAAGACAAAATGGGCGGAGGGAAATGAATTAAAAATAAACAGATTAATACTAAATTAAAGTTTTCTCTACCCCCACCACCACCTCAATTTGCCATTTCACATAGGGGCAAAGAAATTGGAGAATAAGGTGTTGGATTGTTTTTCTACTAATGGACTAGTATTTACATTTTGATTGTTAGATGGGCCATTTTTAATTAACACATATGGAGGCCCCTTACTCTCATCCCAATTAATATAGAATTGGCCCATTGAATTCAATAGAATGTAGAAAAACCCTTTGCCTCTTGTTTGAAGACGGAGAGGATCGGTGCTTAGGGTTGAAAGGGATAGAGTGTAATTATCTCCATACAAGACTTCTTCATTTTTACAGCTTAAAGAAAGGAAATGGAAGCTCAATCACAAGCTATTTGAAGTATGATTTACTTTGGTATTGATGGATGCATGCTATGAAAGTTGAGAAGAGATTATTGGAAACATTTAATTATAACAATTGGTATCAGAGCTACCTTCTCATTTTTCATGGCTATGTCATTCATATTTCCCCGATTTCTGGTATTTTCTTGATGCTAATTATTTTGAATCTTGGCTCTTCATGAGGATTTTTCGGTGGTTTTAGCCCTCCGTTTTATGGCTTTCTTCCATACTTACTTTTATCAGTTCAGTTTTTTGGTTTTTTGTTGGCTATACCAACTAGATACACTAACAATTGCTTCAACAATCTATATAGATGGATTGGGTTTTGGTGCTATTGCCAGATATTTTCATAGGTCAACTTCTGTTGTAAGTGATTAAGACATGGAGGAGTTTGGACCCAAATTTTTGCACCTGAATTCTCTTAATCTGGTTTTAATTGCATGCGATTTCAACTGCCATTAGAAAATTTGGGTATGAATTGTTGTTTATCGAAAAGTGGTTTTGAGGCTGGTGGTGAAGCAATATCGATGGTTTTGGAATGGCTTTGTACTCACCTGTCGTGGGACAAGACATGATAACTTATCGGGATTGTTATGTTGTTCATGCTTCCGCTTGATGATTTATTTTTTTTTACTAACATTTTACTAAGATCCATATGGATAGTATATTTGTCCTGTCGGTAAATCATTATTTGGTAGGATGCTTAGGACGACAAAAATAATAGTTAAGTGTTTGGCACTTGGTGGCCTAATTCTATCCTCTTGGTAGTAGGTCATTTTAAGTCCTTGTACTTAATTATTTTGTTTTGTCATGTGTAACTGTGTAAGTGTCTTTAGTGTGTCATAGGCTCTAGCATTGTGCGTAAGAGTTTATTTTTTAAATAAAACTCTAGCAGGGACATAAAGTTGCCTATTGTATACATTTATGGGAACACATTTATCATTCTATACGTTTGATAATTTTTTATTGTATTATCTTCAGCTTATAGCAATGCAGCTATGTCTCTCTCTTTGTCTGCCATCAAAAGTCTAATAGAAACCAATTATGAGGATTGGCGTGAGTCTCTTACTATTAATTTGGCTATAATGAATTTGGATTTGGCTTTGAGGGTTGATGCACCTACCAAACCCACTAGTGAAAGTACTGCAGCTGAAAAGACTCTTTATGAGCAGTAGGTACATTCTAATAGGACTTGTCTTATGATCATGAAGTATACTATTGAGCATATCAAATATAGATAATGTCAAAGAGTATCTTGAGGCTGTTAGGAAGAAATTTACTAAGTTTGACAAGGCAAAAAAGGGAACTTTGATGAAATTTCTTACTTCCACAACCTATGATGGGGTTAGTGGTGTTAGAGGGCACATTATGAAGTTACTCATTTCTGTAACAAGCTGTAAGGAATGAAAGTTGAGTTAACAGATAGTTTTCTTGTATGGCAAGTACTTGAATCCTTACCCTTGAGTTTGATGCACTCAAGACTACTTATAATGCTCAAAAAGAAGAATGGGACTTGAATGAAATGACTGCTATTGTAACTCAAGAAGAGGAGATTATGAAAAAGGCCAAGTCTCATGTTGCTTTTATGGTAACTGCTGATAAAGGGAAGAAATTTTTTTTCAAAGGTAATAGTAGCAACTCCAGTAAGATGAAGAAATTTGGGATACCTTCTTAGCAGGCTACTACTGTGAGTGCTCCAATAGGGCTAAGAAGGAAGGTTTCAAGGGCAAATGTAACTTTTGTCATATTTTTTGGCACAAGAAAGTTGATTGTAAGAAGTTTAAGGCTTGGTTAGACAAGAAAGGAGTTAAAGAACCGCAGAAGACCAATTGATACAGAGTCAGTAGTAAATATGGGCAATGGAGTGAAGGTTAAAGTTGAACATATTGGAACAGTCGAACTTATTTTGGCTTCTAAGCATATTTTGAATTTGTCT